GACCATCCCATGTGCCTGATTTCAGTTGTGAGGGCCTGAACCTTGACTCTTCCCTCCTTTCTGTTCTAGCACATGTTGAAAGAAGATGAAATGTTTAAAGACTTTGCGACTCGCTCTCCTAGCACCAGTATAACAGATGAGGACTCCAACGTGTGACAGTAAGCACCAGGCACTGACAAAGGCTCACTTTCCTACGTGCAAGAAATGTCATCGTTACATGTGACAGGCAGCAGATCATGTACATGACATTGCTCTTGCTTCTGTTTGTTAGAAGTAACATGGCAGGGTGGAGAATTTGAAACAGAAAAGGAGAGAAGAAAAGGTGCCTACTCTAAAGTTGCCATAAAAACCACCCAGACACTGGTGAATGGTAATCATTTGAACTATATTTAGTGTACAAACTAGTGATATGTTTCAGAGTATTGCATTTAAATTTATGTGGTATGACAGTGCTCCTTTTGCTTTTTCATGGCCTCAGATAAACCTTTATCCTCTTTGAAAGTTACAGAAGGTGTTAGGTAAGAAGTATTGCATCTGTAGATATTGTGCATCAGCTTTCTCTAGGCTCTCAACTGAAAAATAAAAATTACTGCTCTTTTTCAGGTGCTTTTGTTTGGCACAAATACCAGTTTTGCCCTTCCTGCAGTATCCAATGTAGGATTTTAGTCATCTGTGCCCTGTGTAAACTCCCTGGTAGCTATTGACTGTCACTCTTATTTTTATACTGTTTTATAAAAAAAAAAAAAGTAAAAGAGAAGAAAAAAGAATTATATGAAGTACATATAAAAGCAAAAATTTAAATTTTGTGAGATAGAGTGATGGAAAGTTGAAGGTGTGTGGGGGAAGGGGAGAAGGTTGTAAAAAAATTATGCCAGTTTGCATACCAGCTGGTTACTGGAAAAGGCAGGCTGACCTTTGGAACTGTTTGCTTTTGTTGCTTTTTTACTAGGTGCACAGTTTAATGATCTTCCATTTGGGATGAAACAATTCTAAGCATGTTCCTTTCTAGCAGTGACTCGTATGGAAACTGCACATTTTAAAATGTATTCTTTCCTGTTCCCAGCAGTAGTAGTTAGAGCATTCAACAAGGTATTAACACTTCTGTGGCTTAAAAAATGTCCTTAAAGTTGAGAGTACTCCCTGCAAATGGAAGGGATATTTCTGTGCTGTGACTAACGTGAAGATGGTGTAGTTGCAAAAAAATAAAGTTATATAGAGAAATGTATAGGAAATATATTATTTCATATTATTAAACCTAAGGTGGGACTTTTCCTCCAAAAGTCAAATGTCAAACATGTTGCTTTTCATTTTACCTTCTTAAAGCATAGCTTCTCAGCTTTTGATGATCTTCAGGTTTTAAAAACCCAAACTAGCCAGTGGAACTCTTGTGTCAGACTTCGGGTATTGCAAGGTGTCCTAGCCAAAAGCACACAAAAAAAATCAGTGACTTTTTATTACAGTGGTCATTTGTATGGTGTTGAACATTGCATGTATTTTAGCACAATGGCATGAAGCTGCTCTGCTTTGTAAAGGCAAAAAAAAGTACAGCTGGAATTGTTCCTTGTGATGGTGTGATGCTTTACCAAGAGTTTGTCACTCTCTTCATTGCTCTCCTAGCTGGAAGTGAGACTGTTGCTGGGGTGGTGCAAGGGATTTCAGTTTTGTGCTGTCTTTGTGGGTGTTTGTAAAACACTATTAAGAAAGCTAGGAAAGGAAGGAAGGTTTCTTCCAGGGAACTCCCTTCAGATGTTGGGTGAGATTGGAGGCATATTCTGTGATTATATTGGTGTAGTCTGGTTCTTGGAAGGATGTGCAGTGCAGGTGATTATCAGTGTACCAAGAGGAGGAATTTGATGTGGACAGGTTGTGTTATAACTAATGCCAACCATTTTCTCTGCAGTACTTGGAACCAGGCAAGCAACCCATTAAGTCTACATGGAATACATTTTGCTGCTTACCATTTGTGTACAAACAGATCACATTGCTTTATTCAGTATTCCTGATGAATTCCTGTCCGCAGATAATTCGCTGTGTGTTGTTTCTTCCTCTGCAGTCTTGGGGGTGTTTGAGGTCTTTTATTCGGGCAGAAATACCACATTGTGTGACACCTGCTTTCAGCTTTAGGGTGCAGATGCTTGGGATGTGGATTCAGGCTTTGCTTTTTGTGAGTTCTCTGCATTAGCGTCGTTATTTACGTGTAAGTTGAGAGTAGAACCCTGTGGAAGCACTGGGAAGACATGGTGCAAGCTTCTGGGCAAGTGTATTCATCCAGATCGCTCTCACTAGTCACTGGCTAGTGAATATGGCTGGACATTCCCAAGGGGAAAAAGGGGGCTAGTGGCACAATGCTGTGTGCTGAAATAGGCACAGACATACTCTCCAATTCTCTGCAGTCCAGTGCTATCAGCAGGTGTTAGCAGCAACAGCAGTGACGGTTTATTTAAATCCAATGTAAGCTGCTCCCAACAACCCTTCCCTGCACTCACCAGCCAGAGGCCAGGTTAGCCCTCAGAGCTGCCTGGAGTCTGAACCTTGGTTACTTTGTGGGGTGGGAATATGAGAGCAAGTGATAAAGTCAGGAAGTTCTTATGTGCACACCATCGATACCGTTGGGGTATTCTAATTTGTGTGTGTTTGAAGAGGGCAACATAACTGCTGTGTATTGCCATGTGAAATCCAATAAAGTCTGTGGAAAATGCTAAGTGTTTCTGGAAGCTGGTTCCCTTGATCATGTATCCTCTTTTTTTCTTAAAAAAAGATTTTCCTTTGTTTTGTTCTATTTAAAAAGTGAAGGAGGGAAAAGGGGCAGGATCACACATTTGTTGTTGACTCGTTAGTTCGTTTGTCAGTAGTGCCTGCAGAAGGGCTCAGCTAAGAAATCAGTTACCCCAAGACTTTTTAGTTATTTCTGGGATCCAGATTTGAACCACCTTGGGTTGTTTGGTGTGGTGTGATGAGAAGGGGCTTTACCATTGCTTGGTGCGTGCTCCCTGTGGAGTCCTTGCAGGGTGCTCAGTCCTTTCTTGCCGTAAAAGGGTCTCTCTGATCCCAGGCTTTGTTCCCCTCAGTCCTCAGCAGTCAGAAGCTCCAGCTACTTTGCCAACAGGAGCTGAACTTCCCTAGACTCCATTTTGTTGTTGGGGTGCAGGTAAAAATGATGATCAGTGCTTTGCTCAGTGTCACCTGGATAATGGACCTGAAAAAACAGAACCAATGTCTTGTGACCTTCACTTCTGTGGTTCATCAGCTCACTGTTTCGGTGGGAACACTCAGGATCACCACTTTGAAACCCAGAGTATAACAAACCTTTTTTTGGGAAAGAGAGATTTTTCTAAGCACGAGCCTATGAAGATTAAATCCAGCTTTTTTCTGTTCGCTTAAAGTACACATACACTTAGGAATGGAGAAGTAATCCAGGATAACCTCTGGTATGACTCTTTTGATGCCTGTCCACTAGCTATTGTTGCATCCTGTCTTTCCCTTTAGGAGAGAACTTGCACTTGCCCTATCTGCATGCTCTTTACACCTTGCACTGCTTTGTTATGCTTTGTTATATTTTATGAGTCACCTTAGTACTTCGACATTTTCATTTATAGCAAGAGCTTTTCCTACTGAACCTCTTCATCCTCAGCTGGGAGGAAGATGATGATGGTGCTCTTTGAGGCAGGGAAGAGGCCAAACCTTCTGAGTTGCTGGTAGACTTGGAGCAGTGGTTGGCAAGGAGAAAGCATGAGGTGCTGGGGAACCCATAAATAGAAAAGAAATGAGAGTTGCAGTCAGAGATGACATGAGAAGTATTAGTGTGGTCTCTAATCATAGCTGTGAGAAGGTCATGAAGGGATAGACATGGGTCCATGACACATTTGAAGACCTGTGGAAGACAAGGCACAGAATGTAGGACATGAACTGTTTCTTGGAGAGAGGGACCCGAGGCCAGCAGTGGGACTGACCAGCCTGCACACCTGAGAAGGTGTTTCCCTGGGGTGGCAGACACAGGAGAACATCTACGGGCAGAAAGTGAGAGAGATCAAATGAAGATGTTTTGAGCAATGAGAGTGAAAAGGGCAGAGAAAGACAGATCCTCAACACTTTTTTCACCCAGAATGAAGACAAGGAGGAAGAGCAGCGTTCCACAGGACAGAGCTTGTTTCTTAAGAAAGGTGGTGAGATCCTAGGCCAATGAGGAGACCATAGTAGTGCATTTGACACCAGCAGCATCTGGAACAGGGCTGGCTCCTGCTGCAGCAGTGACTGACATTCCAGCTTTCACAGCTAGAGAGACTGGATTTTGTAAGGTTAGGAAACTTTTTTATTTGTAGCTATATTTAATCGTTGTGAATGGGGATGCATCAACTGTCCAAGTTTCCTTGAGATAATCCAGTTAAAGGCAGCAGCAGCACAAGCTTCTCAGTTGAACCACAGGTCCAACTGAGTTTGTGCATTGCCATGACACTACTAATGCCATTGATGGCAGCAGCAGGTATTACTGGGATACAGGCAACAGCCCATCAAAGAAGATCACTGCATCTCTTCAAGCACACTGTAGCAGGCATCAGGTTTGGATGCATCTCCTTCTCTGGGTGATTAAAAGAAAAAGGTTGTTTCATCCTCAGAAACACCCAGTGGCAATAAAATAGCTTCTCTGTAATAGTCCTAGAATGGAGATCAAAGGAGGTAACATCAGACTGGAACAAGATAGCATCAGCTAAAGAAATGGTACCGGAATCAGCAACAAGGAAAACAAGCACAGATTAATTCAGTAGATGTGAAAGTTACTGGGCCTGTTTGGTCACTGCTCAGTCAGCTGTGGAGAAACACACCCAGGAGAAAGGCTGTCTGCCCTGTGGGATACAGCCTGCTCAGGAGCTCAGCTCTGCTGCTGCCATCACCTTCACCTGGAAGATGACAGGCAACCATGTGCATGCTGAATAAGTTTGGATAAGCCCAGTGCCTGCAGAGCCTTTGCTGGAAAAGGAAGGGACTTCCCTGAGGTGGTCTGCATGTGGAAACAACCTCCTCCAGCACAGAAAATGGACCAGGTCTCCCAGGAGGACAATCAGGAGAATAAAGCTGAAACTCTAGTCATCTATGAAGCTTTTCACCAAGGTGTGCTCCATGCGCTGCGAAGGCTAAAGGACTATCTTGGTTTTGTGGATCCTCAGATCAAATTCCAGCCAGCCACAAACACACTGAGCGAGATCTTTTTGGTCAACTGCATTAGCTTCTGCGTGACAAAGGGCATGGAGGAATGGATCATGACCAGCAAAACGATCAAGCAGCCGTCCTGCCTGTTCGGATGGACTCGATCTGGGCTCTGTGTGGAGCTGACAAGCAAATCAAGCTTCAGATTGCCGTGCAGACTTCACAGCTGGCTGAGCTTTCCCTTGGCAGAGGCAGCTCCGTGGAGACACTGCTTCCAGAACATGAGCGCGTTTGAGAAGCTGGTGGAGTTCTGCCACCTGGTGGGACGGGACTGCCTGGGCTCGTTCGTCATGTTCAGTGTGCCAGGGAAGCCCAAGGACATCTGAGGAGTCATGCTAGACAGTATTGCCAAGGAGGAGCAAAAATACTGCCTGTGGGGCAGGAACACGCTGCAGCAATTTGTCCCCAGCACTGACAGCTTCCTGCACACCAAAGACATGCTGGAAAATTGCCTCCACACAAAAAGTGGACCGAAGGAGGGGGGAAACATGTACATAAATCTTGTGTAAACAGCTGGGCAAGGGCAGTGGCTCTGTGCACTCTGGCACCAGGGGCTGTGATGGACTCAGCTCTGCCCCTCTCACATTTCTTCTCACAGGTTGTTCCCTCCACCTCCTTTCCCACCTTCCCCGCGACCCATCCTGGTCCCTTTGCTCCAGTGGGAGCCAGACTGAGTCAGCCTCTCCAGGCTTTAAAACAATAGGACAGACCTGCCAGAAAAATGTGTTTATAGAAGGCACATCGTTTTTCCAGAACATTTTGTTGGCCTGTAAGTCTTGGCAGGAGCTGGTGAAAGCTTTATCAGCCAGAGCCTTGGGGAGGTCCTGGTAGATTTGACTCATGGCCTTTGCTTTGTGGCAGATTTTTTTCTGTACTAGGAGGGCGAGTCTGTAGTGAACACAATGTGCTGGTGCAGGGCAGAAGAGTTGCACTGAGCATGAAGGACAATGCCAGCGGTTACAAATGCTGGTTTGGAGGAATGAGCTGATTCTCAAGTGGAAAAGCCCTACCCAGAGCTAGAAATGGGCTCTATGAGAAACTTGCTAATTGCCTGCCCCTAATTGGTGTCAGGCTCTGGAAGGCTGTGACCAAAAGGCAGGTTGGGTCCAGCTGCAAAGCCTTTTCTGGCTGAGTGGCAGTGTCAGGGCAAGGTGTGGCAAAAGGCAGGAGCACTTGGGAAAAATCAAGCCATGGGGACCAAAACCAGGCCTGGTGTGGGTGAGTTTTCGTAACAACAGAGGCACCTCCTGACCATCCATGGCAAAGAGCAAAAGTCTAGAGGAGGCAAAATTATTTAACTTAGAATCTGTTTAGAGTATCTTAGCACCTGTTTGTATTTATGGACTTGATTTATTCCATTTCCCTTGGCTTTTAGTGGACAAAGTGAGGGTTTGGGTTGTACAATTTTAATTTCTTTCAGCCAGTGAAGCAGGACCTCATCTGTTTTCAGCATAGTAAGCTCACGTTGTTTATGGCTCTCTGAATAGTTTTGTCAGCAGAAAACTCCTCTGCCTGTAGTTTTCTTACGATTTTAGTAATTTAACAGAATAGAAAATACTTTTAAAAGCTCTTTCATCTTTTACTATTTATTCTTTGAGTGGTAAGGTGGGGACACATGAGAAATAGAGACTGTTACCTAGCCAGTAAAAAAGAGCCTAAAGGGGTTGAGGCATCAAAGCCACAAGTGTTAGCAGCATTATGTGGCAGTCAGGGAGGCTGAGAGAACTGAAATAAAACCACAGAACTGTGGAATTTTTTGCTGAGTCACAAACATACCTGGGTTTAGAGGCCTCTCAGTCCTGAAGGAATTGAGATTGTATTTTGTTGTTTTTAAGGGGCTGGTGTCACTGTCTTTCTGTGTGTGTAGCTGGGTGAGGTGGGACAGAGGGGACAGTTCTGGTCTGTTGCATAAAGATCCTGCATAGCTATGGGATATGTGCAGGGAGAAGAACCCAACAACCATTCAGCACAGCTGGGTTGGCTTTTTTTTGTCTGTTTAAACTAACAGCATAACCAATACTGCAGCAGGATTGATTGGTTTATAAAAAAAACTACAGAGAGTCTTTAATTTTGCATTAAATTGGTATAACTAATGTTATACAGTACCAATATATAAAAGCACCTCCCCTACAGACAGGCTGAGACAGTTGGGGCTGTTCAGCCTGGAGAAGAGAAGGTTCTTTGGAAACCTCATGGCAACCTTCCAGTGTCTGAAGGGGCTACAGGGAAGCTGGAGAGGTTCTCTTTGTTAGGAACTGTAGTGATAGAACAAGGAATAATGGGTATAAATTGAAAGAGGGAAATTTAGATTGGGTATTAGGAAGAAAGTCTGTACTGTGAGGGTGATGAGACACTGGCACAGGTTCCCCAGAGAAGTTGTGGCTGCCCCAACCCTGGCAGTGTTCATTCCAGGTTGGTCCATTCCAGTTTGGATAAATCCTTGAGCAGCCTGCTCTGGTGGGAGGTGTGCCTGACCAGGGCAGGGGGTTGGGACTAGATTATCTACAAGGTCCATTCCAAACCCTTAACAAACATGATTCTATGTGTGTCTGTTCAGCTATTCAGTTCTGTAGGAATGCTGACTCTCTGAAAACTGGAGTTTATTCTGGCTTGAGTTTATTCGGGATGTGCTACTTCACCTGTTTCTCTTGTGGGTTTTAGCTCAGGCACCTGGGCCCCCAGCAAGGGTGGAAACTGGCCAAGGCTCTGTACTAGAGCTAACAATGGTGAAGATGCACAACAAAGTATTTAACAATGGAAATTTGCCTGTGTTCATCTATTCAGCCAAGCTGGAGCCTCAGCTCAGGTGTCTCACAGCCAGACCCCAAGCTTCTGCAGCTGCACATGCTGAGGGACCAGGTAAGGTGCAGACTTCAGCCACTAATCCCATGGTAATTTGTGTAGTAACTTTAGTCAAAGTGAAGTGAAGGGGTTGATTTGGTTTCTTCCCCTTTGGACATTGTTTGGTATAATGATGTAGCTTATACTGTAGTTGAGCTCAAGAGCCCATGGAAGTGTAGCTCAGCACAGAAAGGAGAGCAGAAGAGGAAACTGCTGGTTGGTTAAGCCAGATAGGGTTTTCATCACAAGGAAAACAGCCAAACACCTCACCCCACTCTTTCTTATTAGCTTATCATCGGATACTGCCCCTACCTGGGTCCACCAGCAGTCTCTGACTTGAGCAGAGGTGACCCTGGCCCATGTGCCAGTGCTTTATTACTCCACGGGGGTGTCTGGCACAGCCCCCAACCCCTTCTGCTCCCCTGGTGCAGAAGCAGCAGTGTGGTCTGTGTGCCCCAAGCTGTACTGCACATGGACAGTGCCCTCTCTCCTGCCCTTCCTCCCAAAGTGATCCATTACTCACATATTCCTACTTTCTCTTTTGTCCTCCACACCCCGAGAGGATAAGACTTCCCACTCCCCACTGTACAGACACTTCCCTTCCATCGCTGCAAGGAATTTTGTTTCTGTGGTTGGCTCAGCTTAATAGCATCCACCACAAGCCAACAGCTGCAGCAGAGAGTTTGGGTAGAAGCTAAGCACTTGCAAGAGTTTGATGCAGCCCCTGTCACTAAACTGGAGGAATACTCATTTTCTGAACTAGCTCAAAGGGGAAAAAAATTAAGTACCATGCAAAACCATCTTTTATCCCTGACTTGTTTAAATGCTGGAGTAGAGGGACCCTCAAGTAACAGGGACTGTAACACAGTGTTGTTTCATTAGATTATATAAAATCCCTCTTTTTATTTCATAAAAGAGCCTCGTGTTCACAAGGAAGACATACACAATAAAGGTAAAAAGAGGAGAGTTGGAGTGCTAGGGAGAAAAATGGTGACAGTTCACTCCTTGACTTGGCATCCAAATACAGCAGTTTTCCACCAAACTCAAATGAGAGCATAAGCACTTCAGTAAACCAATCTAACAGCTTACTTGGTTTTGTTGAGCCTTCACTTCAGAGTGTTTTACAGGTGGTCTCTAACAAGGCTGAAGATGATGTGCTCACACACAGGTGATTCACCTGCAAGATACTTTATTTCTTACACAGACATGAAAAAAGCCAATAACTGAATGAACAGAGTGAGTCATACAAAACAGTTGATGCATCATCAGCTAGAAGAGAGTTCTGGTTTGGTTTTTTTAACAAGAAGACATTAAATACAATAATGAAAAAAGTCTATGCATATCCCACACTGATATAAACCAGCAGCAAGATCACTTCTCTCATGTTTCTGCTTTTTTTGCCTTCCAAAAAAGGGACTGAAACTTAAAACTTGAGTAGTATTTCAACTTTGGAGCATAGAACAAGTTTCAGAAGCACACACCAAAAATTCAAGACTGGAGGCAAACATCTAATGAATAAAATTAGTAACAGTATTATCTAGGTTGAGGTTCCTTAAATTAACTGTACTATCTTTGCCTTTTAATTCTTACTGAAAAATTAACCTTTTAAATACACAGTACCAATCTGTTGTCCAGGCACAAAAGAAAACACAGTAAGCTAAAACCTCAAATTTCTACCCAAATCCTTAAAAACTGGTATTATACACTGACACTTGTAGCTACCTAGCACCCACAGTACGTCACACATGACTAAACATCCTTTCAGTCACTCTTGATTCATCACCAGAACATGATTTTTAGTTTCCTAGGCTCCTTGCAGGACAGCTCTAACCTCAGCAGCATCTCTGCTGTTCAGCCTTATGTGTCCTGAGGACTAGGTAAAAGGGCTGCTGTAAAAAAAGTCTATTTAAAAATAAAAATCAGAGCTCTAGTAAACAATATCTAAGAAACAGTTTTAGATTCAGTGAGACATTTATATTTGCTGTCAGTTTGGTGACTTAAGGCTGTTCCCGCACATCCTTACCAAGCTAAAGCTTTGGGAGCTCTGTTCCAGCAGGACACGCAGGCAACTGGCTGCACACCACACCCAAAGCTGGGCCACCTGCCAAAACCTCCCTGGCACTGAAACCTGACCTCCCTTTGCTCCAAATCCATCTTTGAGAAACAACACAAACTCCATCCAGTTTTTACCCAGCATTTCTTCACTGCACAGGACATGCAGAACAACTGCTTTTGCCCTCCTAGGGCACCTCCCAGTGTTAAAGTAAATACAAAATTTAGTATTTTTTTTCTTCAGTATTCCACACACAAACAAGCAACACATTCCAGGTATTTGTAGAACAGTGCTGAAAGCCATCTGCCTTCTGCAGTTTCTTTCATTGCCCAAGGATGAGAACTGTGACCAGCAGGAAAAGTGTTGCTTTTAAGAGAGGCTATTCCAAAATACAAAGGAAACCCATTTTGCATCGCTGTCTCCCTCTCTGTTTAACAAGGCAGCTTGAACAACTCCATTCATAAATGGTTAACTGGCATCCTTCAACCCAACAAGCTTCTCTCAACGGATGTTGCAAAGATTATGCACTCAAGGCAAACACTCCTGGCCCTCATACTGTAAGAGCTCAGCAAGGATTACAATTTGGCATAGGCAAGATGAATAATTCAACACATTCTAGTACATTCAGAGTTGATACCAGCTAAAGTCCTGGGTATGCACAGTGTTAGGAAGTAGGATATTACTGCCACTTGATTACAGCACTAAGGAAAAGCATAAATGAGAGTGTGCTGCCCTAAGCAGCTGCACTGTCCTCCCTGGAGACAGAGCACACAACACAGAGCACTAGACATCACTACGTCTCCATGTGCAGGTTTAGTACAGCTGAGCTTATGTGTCTTGCTTGCCAGAGAGGCAGAAAATATGAAGCATTTTTAATATAAATGTAGCTTCCCAGCACTGTGCATCAACCACCTTCTGTAACTTTGTCCTGTTCCCCTTTAGTTACTTCTTCCCTTCTACAGAAGATCCCTGAATCACCAGTCGTCTTTAGAAGGAGAACCTCATGTCCTTGGCATAGCCCAGTTTATCCAGGTTGGGAATGCAAGCATACTGGATCATTGGAGGAGGTCCACACATAAGGAGCAGGACATCATTCTGAGGTGGGGGCAGGTGGTCTCTGATCATCTCTTGGTTCACAAATCCTTGGCTGTAATCCCAATCTATTAAAAAAATTAAGTAGGGGAAGAGGAATGAGGAAAAAAGGAGGAAAAGACAGATACAAGTCAGTTTAGGATGAAGTGGGAGGCTGGTTTTTTTAGCAACATTCTGGACTGTGGCATTGGTACACTCCACTCACATCGGTGTCCTCAACACAGGCTCAGAGAGAAACTGCCACCTCTGCTTTTAGTGTGCAAAACATCCTTCTTGGCCCATTGTTTACAAGTTCACTAAGAGAAATCTAGCTGATGAAGTTGTTCCTGGTTGGAACACTCACAGTGATCATCAGGATTCTGCAGAAAGCTGCTGGCCCAAGCCTTTGGGCACAGTAAGACTGACACATTTTTCTCCCAGTTTGGTCTGGTTTCACATGTGATAGTGAAAGTCTGCAGAACAGTCTTGAGGGGTCTAAGGAGGAACTTTTATAGCAACTGCTAAGATCAGTTCACAAATACCAAAGAAAAGGTGCTCATCCTCTCATCTATGCCAGCCAACTGTACCACATTATCTTTGAAACTAGACTGCACCAAGCTGGAACAGGATTTTCATTGAGAAACACTTAATCCAAAGGGAATTCCATTGCCTACTACCATGAACTTCCATACACTTACACCTAGTTAGGGATCTGTGCTTGGCCACATCTATGTTAGCTACACAGTCCCTCAGACACTGCAGCTGCCTCTAATCACAAGATGGTCAGACAACATGATATATTTATGTCCATGAGGAAGGAGAAAGGAAGGTCACCTTCCAGAGGAGATAATGGTAAATATTCAGTAGTAGTCCTGGGAGGAACACCATTCACCTGAGGTGAGCTTTGAAAACACTATCTGATTACATCTAAGAGTCTCTGTGCAACCAGTGATGCTACTGGATGCATTCAAACATTAAGCAAGAAATGAACCACTAAGCTCAGAAATACACACATGACATAGCGTATCTCCTGTAAAACACCTGCATTAATACTCATAAGATTCACATTTAGTGGCATTTTAGATCTTACTTTCAGGTGCTTTGTCCAGTGTGTACCAACACTTAAAGCGACTGGGATTCTGGGCCTGGATCTCCTCCAGCTCAGGACGTAACAGGATATCCTTCTCAGTCTGCAGGATGAGGAAAACAATGATTACACTCTGCATCTGAGTGCAGCCCTCAGATGACCACAGAGCAGCAGCTACTCTACAGCCCTGAGAGATGGAACAGATTACTCAACTGTTTCACAGGCTGAAGACAGCAAATACAAGTTATTTCCATGCCTACTCTGTGACAGCGCTAATAAAAAGGTTTGTAACTTTCCCAAATTCTGACCATGCAAGGCCTTCCCTCAAACAATAAAGCAAAATCTGTATCAAAACACAGAACAAACACTTGATCAGGGGCTAACATCAGAAGAGTAAAGCCCTCTTTTAACACTGTTACAAAATCAACTTTCACCATGACCCCACACAAGTGTCTCCCTACCACTCTGTGCTGTGCTATTCAGGCAGGAAAATGCCAGTTTTTTCACCTTTGCCAATTCAAGCATCAACAGCACTGCCATATGGAGCCTGTTTGGTTTTTAAGGACGTGGAACAAATAACCAAAAGGGTATCAAAGTTCTGGTTGGAACAGCAAACATTATCCGGGGTGTCAAGTTCTGCTCCTCCCAGATGCAACACCACTGAAGGCCTAAAGAAAGGCTTATTCCCACAAGAGCAGCTGCAGTCTGGGCAGGAAGGCAAAGGGTAGAGACTAAAAGTGGTACCATCCTCTGCAGCCTTAGTAATTTGGCACTGAGGTCACTGCTATGTCTGTAACCGTGGGGGCAAAGAGGAATGCACCTATTCCGGGATTTGCAGTTGCATGTGCTCCAGGAAAGCTATTGCTGGGTCTGACCAACTCAATCTGTGCCAGCCTGAAGCACAACAGGAGCCCATGAACATTGTTATATTTTAAAATACTCTTAAGCATTAACTATTAAACTGCCCCTAGCCTGCAGGCTGTCCTGCCTGACCGTTTGCCACGAGGCTGCTTCCTCTTCTGCAGTTCCTGAGAGCAGGGACCCTTTGAAGCCATGGACTGATGTTTACACAAGCTGTTGCTAACACAGAGACTATTCCCTGGGCCCTCCCTGCAAGCTGCAATGGGTCTTCTACATTGCTAAAGTAGCTCCAGCCCTGTGTTAGTCATTCTGAATTCCTCATAGCTAATCCTGTGCTTTATGCCAACCCCAAGGGCTTGGCCGAGCCCAGCTGCCCCAGCTGGCAGCAGAGGGCACTGCCAGGGCTCCTCAGGAGGTGCACCAGGACAGGGAATCTCAGCACTTGGATCACAACTGCTGGGCAGAAGAATCTCAGGTTATAACTCAGGTACGGTACAAACAAAATGAGGACACACTGAGTATCAGAGGGTAGAGCAATGACAGAGGAGAGCCTGAAGCTAAAAAACACTGGCAAGAAGTGAAGCTCTCCACAAATAATGGCTCATAATCCAGAAATAAATCTCATTAAGACAGAGGTATTTAAAAGCAAAGAACTCACACCAGAAGAACATCAGGCAAAGAAGGGGTGTTGCTCAGCACCACACTGCCATTTGGGTTATCCAAGAAATCCCTTTTGCAAGGATTCCACGGATGAGAGATCTTCCCTTTGTCCAACACGACAGTTATGGTACAACTCAAAGAGCAACAGAAACGTGAAGAACTGGCAGAGGAAATGGAATTGAAAGGAGACAGCCATGCAGAACCACAGCTCAGTAGCTGAGAGACCTGCTGGAGACCACAGCTAATTTTAGCCTCACCTGAGATGTCCTCAAACAGAAAGATTCCACATACAAACCCTGCTACAAAGCTGGGGAGTTACAACTGCTGAAGGAGACAAATGTCTACCTTCTTTCATGTTTCTACTACCAAAGATAGCTCTGAAAGTCTGCCCAAAACATTAACAATTTGTACAAAGGAATGCAAAGTTTTAAAACACTCATAAAGGGGATTAGACACAGAGCAATGAGTCACAGGACAGCAAGCATTAGCTGGGAGGGAAGCAGCATGTCTGTTATAATGCTAAAGCCCCAATTTATGATAGTGTTTTTATAGAGGAAGTTTTCAACACTGCAGCTCACTTCTCGGGGTTTGTGTTTCTGTACCAGGCTTCCTCAGAAAGGATTTAATTTGCTGGGTGGACTTCTGCTAGTTAAGTAAAACTTTATAAAGAGAAAAAAAAGACAGAATTACCTGATTAGCAAACAGCAGCTGACAGATGGTGGGATCATCTTTGTCTTTTATGATTGCTCGAATGATCTGCAGCATAGGGGTTATCCCTGGAAGAGAAAGGCAAGGCAGTGATGAGGAGCAAAAGAAGGGACAAGTGATCATGTGAGAGAAAATGTGAACAAATACATCTCTCAGCTGTCAGAAACCACAGATGAATCCTGCTATATACATACCTGTGCCACCTGCAATCATGCCCACGTATTTCACTGTCTTAGTAACTGGTTCAGCTTTCTTTTCTGGCCGAATATCAAACTTGCCTGAAGAGAGAAAGAGATGGAAAACACTGAAGCAAGCATGAAACACCACCTGTTATCCCTCTCCAGCACATTCAGCTAATTAATCTTGTTTCAGCCCTGTCACCCCTTCCCTCCCAAGAAACAGAAAAGGTGAAGATGTCATGAATTAAAATAAATCCTGAAAGATGATGCAAGATTGTAAGACATGTGGTGACGACATCAGACACTGAGATGGGTTATTACTCCTGACTATAGTATCAAGCCATCACTGCCTGTATATCTGTTTGCTCACATCCCATATCCCCAGTGATATTCAGAAGCCAAGATCCTGGAAACAGTTCTACATGAAGGGATTAATTTGCTCAGAGTGTTTATTTACCATGTGCAGATTATTTTAAGGGAAAACCTGAACTATGCAGGATGTATTTTTTTGTACACTTGTCTCTTTTTGAGCTGATTTGCCAGTTTCAGCCAAATCTGACAGAGAGTTTGAAACTCCCCAAAATGTTGGATTTGTTGTATTCACACCTCTCTTCATCCAGGATAACATACAAAGCTCTGGAAAACCATGTGTCGGAGTTCCGCTGCACACAAAACTACCATAAGGTTTCTGTGACACATTTGTGGTTGCACTATGCCAAAGTGAGTTATTTTATATTGACATAAAAGTACTTCGTAAAGTTCACTTTCACTTGGGAAATTAGCACTGGACAGTGCACATACCAAGTGTTTTTCTCAGTGTATTAACTACGTCTATATAAGCAGCCTGAAAACTTCCTTGTTTGAGAATAGCATCAATAACAAGCACTTGTGCAGTCATAAGACATTTTTCCTGTATTGTTTACTCTGAATAAATTATATCTTCCAAACCAGCCTTGCCTTTTCCTTTGTAGACAAGTAGGCCACTTGGTCCTCTGAAGTCAATAGTGTCCCCTATTTTCAGGCTCTCTAAATATTGGGACATCTTCCCCCCATCAGGAAACTTGGGATGGACACCTCTGAAGTAGATCTGTTAAAAACAACAATGAAGCAATTATTTCAAATATTTAGGTACACATACTCCTCATGCAAAGAGCACAATTACTACATAAAGAAATACTGAGTACAGATTTGATCAATAATAAAACAGGAGCACTGAGTTTCCAGAAAAAGATTAAAATGCCACTCTTGCCTCAGGTTTTGGACATAGATTGGTGATTTCTGTATTGTATTTCTGTTACATAGAAAATAGCAATAATAATCCATATGATTTATATCCAAGTTCAAAAAGCGGTAGAAAAATAAAGAAAAAACCCAAACCACTGTGATTTCAAAGAGTAAAATTCTAAGAGGAAATCCAGTGCAGATATTCGTATTTTAAATTCCCGTCAGCTTTAAATGACAGGTGGCCTAGCTAGGTAGTCTAGCTACCAAGAGACCAGACTAAAGTACATTATCTCAAGGCTTAAAATCACACTCTTACTGATGATTAGGCCAGTCATTCACACTGTTGTTACATCAGTAACAACAGTGATCACCACTCTCAGTGACCATATTACAATAGCTTCGGAAGCTGCTGACCATTCAGGCAAGGCTAATTCTTTATTTCAGAAGGATTAAAAAGTCTATGAACCTCTTCAGGTCTACACAGACTTTGGAAAACTGCAGCATGCAAGTACAGGACATGATGCAGCATCTCATGAGACACAGCCTACACAAGGGCTTGCAGAATGCCATGTGAATTGTAGGTAACTGCACATACCTGAAGAGAAGCCATCACATCAGACTTTATGCCCATAAAGGTGGGCCCAGAAGTTGCCCAGCCTCATAACAGAGTGTGACATTCTCACCTTGACAACAAGATCCACAAATCCCTTGTCATCATCACTGGAAACTGGAGTGTAAGGTCTGACAACCAGAGCTCCATCAATCCGTGCAGACAGGTAGATGTGCTGTCCTGTATGCAGGAAAGAAAGAAAACTTCAACAGTTTTCCTTCAAAAGATTTTTCTTTCAGTGGATGTCCTGAGCTGGCATGGACTGCAAGTGCGGTCTCAAAGTTCTCCTAACTACCTTATTTTTTCCCCCTCATTTTCCTGACATTCTAGCACCTTGCCAGAGGTGTTAACCATCCTCAAATTTTACCTGGAAAGGCAAGCAACTCCACTAATTTTATGAGTCAATCATATCTGTTCTGAAAGCCTCATGCATCTACATTTACCAAAGCCCTAACTGTATGTGAGAACTTGAAAAAGATGTGATTTGTCTCTCCCACACAGACAAGTGTAAGGGACACAGAAGGGGAAAACTGTCCAGTGCTGTTCACACTCTTTATTAACATCAGTTATAAACTGCCACAGTTTAATTCTAACTGAGTTTATAACTGTTCTTACCTTGACCACAGATCCCTCACATCTTCCAGGAGGTCTCTAGCTGCCTCTGCTGAGGCTGCCTAGACAGAAAGCTCTTTCCTAACCCTGCTATTCCTCCAGCTTAGCATGTGAATGAATCACATTTCCATCTGTCACACATCCTCTGAACTCTCTACAACAGTTTATTTTCTCAATGGCTACATTTTTTGCTGAAAAAAATTAAATAATTAACTTATACACAAGGTTTTCCTATAAAAACTCCAACATTCTGAGGAGACCTAAGTGAACAAATAACTTGGGGGGGGTTGTGTTTTATTATTTTATCACCACTAAGTGATAAACTACCTCTGAAGATGGTGCAGCTCCTCTGCTTGTTATGGGAAGACAAGGAGAATTTTACTGGGAGCTGGTTTGCCAAGCTGGAGGAGCAGTGAGGCAAAACAGTGGATGAATGAAGATGTGCTACCTGGTGACTTGAGAAATGAGGAGCCCAACCTCACTTGAAGCTGTACCCAGACTTAATGTAAGGGTGATACCAATAACCCTCTCAGCAAAGCCTAGACACACTTGGTAGCACAGGTTTCCTGCCAGGGAAGGCCTGAAGGGAGCTGCAGCAGCAGCAGGCCCCTGCTCCTACTCCAGGCACGGAGAGGCCTTGCTGCCCTGTCCTCCAGAACAGACCCGTGGTGACCACTGCTGGGTCTACCACAAGAACTGGTACAAATCCAGAAGAGGTGCTCCTCCCAGAGAGAAAACATGCCACATTGCTCTTAACTGGTTAGAGCTTTACCCAACCCTGACAGCACAGCAGTGGCAGCCTCTGTGTGGGGCCATACACAATCTCTCTCTTCCTCAGAGTCAATTTTCCAGTGTTTCTTCCTGTGGCAGTAAAAGCCAAATGCTGGTGCTGGACTAAACATGCAGAGTGCACACCAATGTCTGTCCTACAGCTGCAGGTCTGCTGCTCCCAGCTGCTTTTCCACCCTCACCAGCTTTCAGCCCTCTCTGCTTCCCAAGTCTCACCCAGCAAACCACTCCCTCAGTGACCCACAGATGGGCTCTGCAGAGAGCATGGCTGTGCTGCTCCTGGGACTCTGCAGGGCCAGGAACACATCTCCTCAGGCTATGCTGAAACAACCAGATGATTGCCATGGCCTTACGACAACACTGGAGGAAGCCATGGCACCCAGCAGGCCAAATCCACCTCAGACAGCTTGTGTTCTGTCGGAGTGTAGGACAAGAACAAATATAGCTCACTCCTCAATGTTCATTATGGGCAAGAGAGGGAAATGAGCTTTACCCTCAGACTACTGAACACATACAAAGGTTTAACACATCCCAAACAAAAGGGAACCTAAACACCATGGACTGTAATCCAGGAAAGGTGCTGATGGCTACCACAAAGCACCTGAGCCACAGATCATTGCAACAGCTTGTTAAAGCAGAAGTCACTATTAAGCACAAGACACAATTAAGTGCTCTTTATACAAGCAGTAGGAAACAATGGCACCAAGTTATTACAGAAGGCAACATGCCACGTGGCAAGACCTACTGCAATAGCTACCCCACAGTGACGAAGAGAGCAGGAGACTGCCAGCAGATTCAGAAGTGAGTAGATCATCTGCTAAACCACATGTGTCAGAGGCGAAGTAGCTGAGAGTGGTGCCTCAGGGGATGGAAAGGGACTACAGAGATCCAGCACCATGGGAATAACACATGCTGGAAAGTTGAGACTGGAAAAATACAAGAAAAGACCAGTGTTTGTTTCTACTCTCTTCTACTCTCCTCACAGAAACAAGCTGGATGGACACTCTCAGTAAGCACGCTAGATTTCAGACTCTGCGGATTACTCACAGGGTGAGGATAATCTTACAAAGCTCTAAATACCAGCTCAGGCCCTGTGGACACTATTCAAAATTCAAAAATTCAAAAAATCCCCACAAAATCTCACAGTGTAATTAACAACTCTTTGTAAGAAACATACCTATAGGGAGACCCAGAACGTGATCTATGGAAGGCAGAGCAAATCGGAATCTTCTTGTGTCATGACTAACTTCCTGAAAGAGGAATAGAAAAAGAAGAATCAGCTATGTTGTTGGGATTTGCTGTTTGGGATTTCACTTGTAGAACACTAGCCTGGTTTCCTGCAGGGCTAAGTATCTGGCTTGGGATTTCACTTGTAGAACACTAGCCGGGTTTCCTGCAGGGCTAAGTACCTGGGGAGAGCAGTATTCTAACTGAAATTTTTGCACAATGCAAACATGAACCCCTCTGAGCGTGGCAAACCTGCAGAGGCCAACTCTCCATTCACCTCCCTGAAAACTTACCTCAAAATCTTTTATAAATAATGCAGAAGTGAAAATCAAGCAGACAAATGCAAATACTGTTTCAATAAACATTTAAAATGTGAATACCAAAACTCAATGATACTCATAAATGGCTTAAGACTAAATGAAAACTTTCTAAATATTGTGGCCATTTACATTGCTTTCTGTGAGAAGGCCACAAGCTAAAAACTAATTACTACTTCAATTCTCATTAAAAGTTTAAATATGTAAGAGTTCAAGGCCAAAATATTTTGATTTTGATCTCTTAAAATCAGATGAGTTAATCATTTCAAGGCAGATGATTTCAGAAGACACCAGTGGAGATCAAGACAGGAAGTAGCAATCTGGTTCCCTTTGCTATGGTAAGATCCTTTAAAATATTTTCCCCGTAAAAACTGAATTAATCAGTAAATAAAACTGAAAAGAGCACTCTATTTAGAGAAGAATTTTATTATAAAATGATAACAATATATGCAGTTCAGCTGGAATAGTTATTCTTATCTTTTACTAAGAAAGTCACACCTTGAATAAGGTTTTGGCAATAAGTAAATAACATGTGATTTCTTATACCATGCAAGTCTTATATTTTAAAGATTAGGTCATATTCCTTGGAAGTAAAACACAGCAAAAAAAAGACAGAAAGAAACAACATGCTGCTTAAGGCCTCCTCCAATTACTTCCTTTTTTTAAACCTCTACAGGACATAATATCCTTTCTAAGAAGAAACTTCATGAACATTCCATAAATCTGAAGCATGTGAGAAACACTTATTAATTTCATCCTTCCCAGACAGGTGGATATGGCAATGTCCAGAAGTTTAGTACCAGAGTGTCAGCACCTCATTTTTGGCAGGATGTCAGAAGCTACCAGCACATTGCACCAAATTAATATTTTTCAAAATTAACTTCTGTTTCCAGGACGCACTTCCCATTTAGGCAAAAATCTATAAACATTCATCAGACAAATATTCTCAGTTGATCAAGTTACCACATGCAGCAGCATTTAACCTGGTTATATAACAGCTGTTCCTCCATCCTAATATTAATAAAAAGCATACAAAAATAACAAGAGTGAGAAAAAAAATCAGTAATTAGCAAAAAAAATCCAGTGAATTCTCTTCTGGTACAAACTGCTACAGCACAAAGTTCCTCAGCTTCGCTCCCCTCTTGCAGGTCAGACTGTACCTGCAGCCATGAGCTCCTGATCTCATGAGAAAGTGAGGAGTACATAGTAATAGTGTGGTTGGAGTACACATGCGTAGTAAATTCACTAACTACACATGGGAAATAAATTCAGCAATGCAGCCCAGCCCAAGCCACGGGGAAGCTTTCAGTTCCCACGGAACCAGGCTTTGGAATGACAGGAATTGTTCTCTTTGACAGACAGAACAAGTGAAAGCCAAGCTATCACTGCACTCTCTACATCTCAAACAAAGCTCTGTTCCAGTCCTTTTCATCAAGTCTTCTGACAAATTTCTGACTAGCTCATTGACTTAAAATGACAATGCTAAAAACATCCTCAGGTGTGACTTTACACATGAAAACTCAAGATTTCTATCTCATGATGAGCCAGCTTGGGTGCTGTGTCAGGGTTACATTATTTAAATCCTTTCTTCCTGTAACACATTAAAGTACATCAATCCAATAACAGGAATCAGTATCAACATAGTTCTGACAGCTGCTATGCTGAATGATATTGACCATGAAAAACTGCCTGCTCTGCCTGACAGCAGGACTTCTGTCTCACAGCCCATCTAGTATTGTACAGTTTAGCAACTTCTGCTGATGTACTCCACAACATGAGACACATCTGACAGAAACTACAAGTCTGGTCATTTTAAAGCAGCACTCTGACTCGCTTGGAAACGAGCTGCCTGCAGAACTGCAGAACTGTTATACTAGGCAAGGAGTGTTTATAAACAAGCTCTTTCCTCATAATAGAAGTATTCACCCAACAGTACCACAGATTTCAGAAGCATTTCACATGAGAGGTCATCCTCAGCACTGCACAAGCACTTACCTCCTTATCAATCAGCCTCAATGCATACTTCACTTCAGGATCCTTCAGGGTAATTGCAGGCCGGGGATTGCTGAAAATCCTCATGATGGTCGTGTAGATTAGCCATATTGGGTATGTCACAACC